TCTCCTGCCTCAGCCTCCCGAGTAGCTGGGACTACAGGCGCCCGCCACCACACCCGGCTAATTTTTTGTATTTTTAGTAGAGACAGGGTTTCACCATGTTAGCCAGGATGGTCTTGACCTCCTCACCTCGTGATTCCACCCACCTTGGCCTCCCAAAGTGCTGGAATTACAGGCATGAGCCACCGCGCCCGGCCCCATTCTAGCATGTTTTAAGTGAAATGCTCTATTCTTAGAATTCTTCAAGATAACACAAAACCTCATTTCCTAAAAGCCGTTTCATTTTGTACCCTCTGTATTGTTCTGACAGCTGTGTGCTCTCCCTCTTGCAGAGCAACCGGCTGACCAAGATCGAGGGTCTGCAGAACCTGGTGAACCTGCGGGAGCTGTACCTTAGCCACAATGGCATCGAGGTCATTGAGGGCCTGGAGAACAATGTAAGACACCCACTGTCTGTCTGGGGCTGTGTGGGCGGTGGGCACCAGGCGGGCAGGCACCTGGCCAGCCAGCACACACTGGCCTCTTGGGCCAGTGTCAGGAAGATGCCCTGCCTCTGGAGGTTTATCAGAAAGACCTTCCCATCCTAAAAACTAAGGGACCCCTCCTTACACCGAAAAGCGCAGGAGCTGTGTGTGCCTGTCGGCCCTCTGCCCTGAGTGTGCCTTGAAGGGTTGACGCTTTATGTGGAATTTCAGCACAGGCTTCCATAGGCTCCCTCAGTGGGGCAGCATCCACTGCACACCCACCGTCACTGCAGGCATTTTGCAGGATTTGAAAAAAAAAAAACCCAACCTGCTCATAAAGGGCCCTGTATGAGGGTGACTGGCACTCCTCTAGGCCACTGACCTGCCCATGGCCCCACTGGCCTCAGCCCCTACTTTCCAGCCCACAGAGAGCACAGGACCAGCTCTCAGTCCCAGCCCCCTCCTCCTCTTACAGTATGAACAGCTTCCTCCCCCATTCCGCACTGCCTGCTGTCTACACCTGTCCATGCTCCTCCCACCCTCCCTGGCCCTTCTCACTCAGGTGCAGGACAGCCTCACATACTGAGTGGAAGTGTGCTCACAGAGCCCCCACCCTCCTCAGCTGCCTCCAGCTCACCCTACTCTGCCCCAGTGCAGTGTTCAAGACAAATAAAAGACTTTTTCTCATTCAATTTTACTTGTTTTTTTCTGTTTTGTTAAATTGCCATCAAATATAACCAGATTGGTCTGTAAACATAGTGTTTCAATCTCATTAGGCCTTTGTGCCTCAACCCCAGGGCCTAGTTGGCATCAGTAAATTTCACCAACACCTGCATAAAATTTTGGAAAAATTCACATTTGCCTGTGGAAAGTTTAGTCACCTTCCTTTGACTTTGCACTGAAATTAAAAGTTTATAAAACTAGCATGCAAACCAAGTGTTCACCTGTGTGATTTAGAGACATACCTGCAGTGGAATGGCGCTGAGGACTGTGTGGCAGGGGCTGGGGTTGGGGCTGGGCGGGTTGCGCAGCAGGGAGCCCATGCTCAAGGGAGCCCTGGTGCCCTCCTGCACCCTGGCCTCCCCGAGCCAAGGCCCCACAGTCACCACCAAGCGTCCACCAGGAGACAGACAATCTGCAGCACAGTTCAAATAAGCAGCCAGTCCCAGGAAAACTGGAAAGAAGTATAACTCAGAATTTTACCAGTGGAAGTGCTACACTGTGATCTTGGTTAACCACCAGATTATTCTTGGGCCTTTGAAACAAAACAGAAAAAAAAAAAAAAAAAATGCTTGTATTAAAGGTAATGACGTTATTGTAATCTTCATCGTGATCAAATGTAACAGTCTTTCCTCTGCCATTTTTTTCAACTAAAGATCAGACAAATATTTTCTCCTAAGTTTTGTTTCTTAATTTATCTGGAATTTATTTTTATGGTGGGAAATAACGTAAATGTAGTTTTGTCCCAGATGGGAATTTAGATGACGCCCCCCAACCCAGTGTCTCATGACTCCTGTCTCGTTCTGCAGTGTCTCCTCCAGCTCGGGGCTCTCCTGTTGGTCTAGAATATGTTTGCAGTGGTCCCTGACAGGTGTCATTTCTGTGGCGTTGTGTCATGCCCTTTGGTGTGCCTGCTCTCCTCACCCTGTTCCGTTCTTTTTTTCTATTTCTTAAGCAGTTCTTACTAGTTTGCTTTGGATGAGTTTTCACAACATTGTCCAACTCCCCTAGAAAAACGTGAAATAGTGTTGAGTGCATACCTGGATCACTGAACTCAGAGATGTGGGACCGATTCTGACAGCCAGAGCCCACCACCAACTCTGCCCCTCGTGCTGAGCCTTAGTACTTGGACCTCACGAGGCTCAAATCCTGCGTGTGTTCCAGGCCACTTTCATTTTGCCAGTTTCTGGGCTTGCATACCAGATGACCATGAGCATCTCAGAACGGTGCAGAGTGTGGGGGAGAGCTGCTGTCTGCTAGAGAGGCCTGTTCCAGCCCCACCGCCAGGCGATGTGTTGTTGGATTGCCCACAGTCGCGTCCTCTGCAACATTTTCCTGCAGTCCTTTTGCTCTGAACCTGCCCCACTGAGCTCCTCTCTCGCACATTGTGGAGCCTGATACTCTGTGAGCAGACCTGACCAGGGCACCAAGATGGGGTGGTTTGAAGGCACCTCCTAGGTAGCATGCCATGCATAGCCTGCTGGAGAGTGGCATCAGACTTGACACGCACAGCTGGTGCCAGCTGGCGTGCTGGGTGCCAAGGCAGCAAGGGTGGCATAGCCAGAGAAGCTCCCAGGCCACAGCCATAGTGCTTTCGAATTGGGCAAGCTACTGGCTGGGTACGTTTCGAGGAGATGGGGGGAGGAGTGTCTGCTTTTGAGACATTTTTTAACTTTCCCTTAAAACTTGGAAGGCTTTGGAATTGGAATACCAAAAATGCAGTAGAAAACCAAGGAAGGGACTAGGAGGGAGCAGAGCGTGAGGGCAGAGAAGGGAATGAACTTTGTCAGAGGTTCTCGGACAGCTTGTAAACATTTTCGTTTTGATGAAAAACAAAAGTATTACCCAGGCTTAGATAATGTGTATTGGAAAGTGAGTAACTGATGTGCATTTTCAAAGTAAAAGATCCTAAAAACACACTTTTGTCTCCCGGTGGGGGCACACACCCTGCAGCAGGTGCTCAGCAGGCCCAGCACCCAGTCCTCAGCACGGGTCTTTTCTCTGCACTCATGCTCCTGGCAGCCTCTTCCGAGACAAGAGTTTAGACATGGGATCCGAGAGTCCTGCCTTTCCCACTGCTACTATGCACGTGGGCAGATTCTTAGCCCCACTGAGCCCCAAGTTCCTCATCCCTAAATGAAAGGAGGAACTTTGTTTTGAAGATTACTTGGTCGTACATTTCCTTGTGATGAGCACTAAGTAAATGTGACTACAATTGTCAGCCTTTCTTCAGAGCGTCAGGGGGTTACTTGGTTCTTCCTGGGACCATCAGTCTCACCAGGGGCCTCAATGGACAGGGATCTGAGAGCACTGGGCTTGGAGTCTGACACAGTCTCAAATTCCAGTGATCAGGAGAGCTCAAGGAGGTAGCTGGGCAGGCTCTGATGGAAACACTGTCCCAGGGAGGGCTGCAGGAAGCAGGCAGGTCTCGTCACCCTCCATAGCATGCCCTTATCCTGTGAGGGCAGAGAGGGTAGTGCACCTGCAGCCCTAAGGTCAGCACTTGACACTGCCTGTGTGGTCATGCAAATCACGTTGGTCAGAGGTAATCCAGGAAACATTTTATTTCCTTTTAGAACAAACTCACGATGTTGGACATTGCATCAAATAGAATCAAAAAGATTGAAAATATCAGCCATCTAACAGAGCTGCAAGAATTCTGGGTAAGTTTAATATACGCTGGGGTTGATGACACTTCGACTAAACTGGTCTCGCTGATTAAAATGTCGTATGAGTGAATACGAGAATCTCCTGTAAGCCTTCCTGCTGAGTGGCTCCGTCCCGCCATGAGATTGGGGTGGGTGCCTTTGTAGACTTGTGTTGGTTGTTGTCTGTGCTCCTCAGAGCATGAGCCACAGATCAGCAGCCTTGACATAGCTTGTAAGAAATGCAAAATCCTGGGCCCCACCATAGCCCAGATGCAAACTGAGTCAAAATCTTTGCTTTACAAGACTCCAGGTGATTGCAGTACACACAGAGGTTGGAGAAGCCCTGATCTAGGTATGGGTAGAACCTAAAATTGTCATTTGACCAGATGGTTTCCAAACCTCAGCAGAGAGGCAGACACATTCCCTGCAGCTATATTCCAGCACCACAAAAGGAAATGTTGGATGGGTTTCTGCAGTTAGCCATCTTGGAATTTGCCTTGTATTTGTCTCGTCACAGGTATGGTTTCAGGAGTAGCGTTGTGGTGTCAGCAGGAAGAGAAACAGAATATAATAAATTTTTGCACTTCCTCTAAACGGGTTGGGAAATGATCCCCGAGTTGAAGTCTTCAGTATTAGGATTCCCTTGGAGAATTCTCCTAAGGCTTATTGCCTTTCCCCTAGCATGTGGCCCCTGCAGAGATTATGGCACAGGTGTCACCCTGTGATGCTGTGAATGTAGTAGTGTCCTCAGATACATTCAGTCTAATCCAGGATTCATGCAGAGTGTAAGGCATCATTCTTCCTTGTCTCTCCTCTAGCTGTGCTGCTGACCCTGCTTATGTCCTGTGCGTTCTCTTTTCCCCATCTTAAAGGGTCATCCAAGTTTCCCTAGAACACAGATGGCCTGCTGCAAATGTTCCTTGCCCCTTATTGGTGGCATTGGGTCTTGAGTAGTGTCATGATGTGATACCAGAGCATGTCTGGGAAGATGCGAGTCAGAATTTGGCAGGTGATAAAGATGTCCCAGGCCACGGGGAGCCTCAGTGAGTCCAGGTGGGTCTATGTGCAGCCCACCCTTGAAGGAAGGTGTGGCTGGTGGGAGGCTGGTTGGATCAGCTCATAGGGAGCTGGCAAAGAAGCCAGGGAACCACACAAAGAAACCAAACAACAGGAATAAGGAGTCCAGAGACAGAGGACCTAGGTAATAGGGAAAGGGCACCTGGCAAAAAATTAGGGAGCAGGTTTGGGAAATGAGCTGATACGGAAGCAATGTTCCTGAAGCTTACAATTCCTTCTGCATGCCCTGCCGAGGAACAGAGCATGGGGCACACAGTACTGAGACCACAGGCAGGGGCCAACCTGGGCACCACAGCTAGCAGGGAGGCAGGCAGGCTGGTGATCCATCACTAGGGGCCAGATAGTGCCTGACCCTGTGACACAGAAGAATCCTGTTCCTTAGACCACCAAAAATAGTAAAAAAAAAAAAAAAAAAAAAAAAAGCAAGAATTCGCACAGTACTTTATAGTGCCCATACCTCTTTCCATTCTGATCCAATTATCACAGCAATCATGTGGATAAGATCATATTACCCCATTTTACAGGTAAAGAATTGCATTCCAGGAAGGAAAGCTGCAGACCAGGAACTCTCAAACTCAGTTCCATGCTCATATCACATTTGAGATGCACATCATTAGTCTCTAAGGCAGAAATAGAAAACCAGTCTTAAAGTTTCTTACAACCCAAATACTATGTTTGTTGATTTTTCTCCCTACTTGTTCTGATTACTGAGAGGAGAATGTTGAAACCTTCCAATTATAATTGGCAGTGGATCCATTTCTCCGTTCAGTTCTATCAGTTTTTGTTTCTTGTATTTTGAAAGTCTGTTATCAGGTGCATACATATTTAGGATTGAGGATTTCTTGATGAATTGATCCATTTATCATGTGAAATGTTCTTCTTTATTGCTGTCCTCTTTATCCTTGTCCTGGAAGTATATCTTGTCTGTTATTAACATAGCCACTTCATCTGTCTTATGATTAGCGCTCTCATGGAATCTTTCTCCATCCATTTACTCTTAACCTGTGCCTTTATAATTAAAATGTGTTTTTTGTAAAAAGTATATAACTAGGTCTTGCTTTCTTGTCCAGTCTGACAATCTCTGCCTATAAGTGGTGTGTTTAGACTGCTTACATTTAATATAATTACATTTAATTACATTTTGTGAAATGGTTGAGTTTAAGTCTATCATCTTAGTATTTGCTTTTTATTTGTCTCATCTATTCTTTGTTTACTCTTTCCTGCCTACTTTTTGGAGTGAGATTTTTTTTTTAATTTTTGGCAGTCTATTTTAACTCTATTATTGGCTTATTTGCTATACCTCTGTACTAATGTTTTCTTGTTGCTTGTTTGAAGGGAGGGTTGTTTTAGTGATTAGAATTTAAAAATGGATTTTTAATTTATCACCATCTGTATATTTTACATTTAAATATCTTATGATCCCCATGATACCTTATCTTTTAAAGAAATTTAAAAATGGCTCATGCCTGTAATTCTAGCACTTTGGGAGGCCGAGGTGGGTGGATCACCTGAGATCAGGAGTTTGAGACCAGCCTGGCCAACATGGTCTGTCTCTACTAAAAATATAAAACTTAGCTGGGCACGGTGGCACATGCTGTAGTCCCAGCCACTCGGGGGCTGAGGCAGGACCATCACTTGAACCCAGGAAGTGGAGAGGGCAATGAGCCAAGATCGCGCCGCTGCACTCCAGGCTGGGCAAAAAAGCAAAACTCCATCTCAAAAAAAAAAAAAAAGAAATTTAAAAACAAGAAAATTCACTTATTTTACCATTTCTGGCATTGTTGATTCTTTTGTGTGGATCTCAGTTTCCACTTGGTATTTCCCTTCCACCTGAAGAATTCTGTTTTTTTGTCGTTGTGTATTCTGCAGTAAACCAATCCTTCAGCTTTTATTTGTTTGAAAAATCTATTTAATTTGCCTGCGTTTTTGAAGTTTAATATTATGGATACACAATTCTAGCTTGACAGGTTTTTTTTTTTTTTTTTCCTTTTTAAGCACATTAAATACTTTATTCCTTCATCCTCTAGTTTGCATTATTTCTCCTTTATAAAATTTTTATTCTTTTAAAAATATTTTTTTAAAATAAATAGAGATGGGGCCGGACGTGGTGGCTCACGCCTGTAATCCCACCACTTTGGAAGGCCGAGGCAGGTGGATCACCTCAGGTCAGGAGTTTGAGACCAACCTGACCAACATGGCGAAACCCTGTTTCAACTAAAAATACAAAAATTAGCTGGGTGTGGTGGCACGTACCTGTAGTTCCAGCTACGGGGGAGGCTGAGACAGGAGAATCGCTTGAATCCAGGAGGCAGAGGTTGCTGTGAGCCAGGATGGTGCCGCTGTAGTCCAACCTGGGCAGCAGAGTAACACTCTGTCTCAAAAAAAAAAAAAAAGGGCGGGATCGTGCCATGTTGCCCAGGCTGGTCTCGAACTCCTGGGCTCAGACAGTCCTCCTGCCTCAGCCTCTTAAAGGGCTGAGAGTACAGGTGTGATCCACCACACATGGCCCTGGTTTGCATTATTTCTAATAAGTCAGCAGTCATTTTTATCATCTGTTTTCCTCTGGCTGCTTTTTAAATGGTCTTTTTAATCATTCTTACTTTGTTTTGTTTTTTGCAACTTGAATAGAATGTGCCATGGTGTAGTTTATTTTCTTGGATGTGTTAGGGTTCACTGGATCTGTGAATTTATGGTTTTCATCAAATGTGGAAAGCTTCTGGAAATTATTTTCTCTGAAACAGTTCCTGCCCCTGCTCCCCGACCCCCGTTTCTCTCTGAAAACCCAGTTTTGCATGTTCCTCTGGTGCTAGGGAGGCCCCGAGGCCATTTCCTCCACCCAGCTCCACCCCTTGGGCTTTCATCTTGCTGTGCTTGTTTGTATAATTTCTGTTGTTAAATCTTCAGATCATGATCTTTTCATCTGTAGTGTCCTATCTGCTGTTAAGCCCATGTCATGAATTTTTTATTTCAGATGTTGTATTTTTCTCAACTCTAAAAGAACATTTAGCTTTTTTTTTTTTTTTTGGGGGGGGTAGATTATTTTTCTCTCTTCATTAGATTTGTGTTTTCCTTTAAGTCCTTCCTTCTTCACGCCTTGTAATTTTTTATTAGATCCTGGGCTTTATGGTGTTCAATTGTTGAACGTCGAACTTATGTTGTTTTCCTTCAAAACATATTGGACTTTTTCTGACAGGCAATTAAGTTACAGCTTGATCCTTTTGAGGCTTGTTTTTAAGCTTTATTAGAGCACATCTAAATAGTCTACCCCGTAAGATTAATCTAGCGCTGTTTTGAAGCTGTGGCCCTCCTGGGATCTGTAGTGAAAATCCTGGGTATTTAAGTTCTCTCCACTGTGGTTGGTGGGAACACAAACATGGAGCTGCTGTGGGTGAGCTCTGGGCATTCTGCAGCTCGGGACTCCCTAGTCGTTCTTCGACCAGCCTTTAGCTTTTCACGCTGCCTAGCACAGCTTCATCTTCGGTCCAGGATTCAGGAGGACACCATGTGGATTTCTGGAGGCTTTTTCCCTACATAGCTCACTCCTATCTATGCATTCCAGCTCCCTTTGCCTCCCCAAACTACAATCACCATCTCAACTCGCTGTGGCCACCAAGCTCTGCTTGGCTTCCGCCTCCTTGTGGTCCTGAAAGTTCCTCCAGGCAGAAGGCCAGGCAGAAGGCCAGGATGACCACACCGCCCACCTCATTTGTTTCCTGTCTCTCAAGAATCAATGTTCTGTGTTGCTTGTTGTCCAATGTATAAAAACAATTATTTCATATATTCCATCCTATTTGCCTATTTTCTTTCTCTTTTTTTTTTTTTTTTTTTTTTTTTTTTTGAGACAGAGTCTCGCTCTGTCCCCCAGGCTGGAGTGCAGTAGAACTATCTCACTGCAAGCTCCGCCTCCCGGGTTCGCTGCCTCAGTCTCCTGACTAGCT